GTCATCAGGAGAAGAAATGCTCTCCTGAAGGCTTTCTCTGACCCCACCGCAGGATATTAGATAAGAACAAAAAAAGCATTTTTGTTAATCCATTCAATACTATGCCTCTGAGTGTGTAAACAGATTTCCCAGAAGTTCTGTCGCCTCATGGTATCTGGAGACCACATTTAGAGCTGTGAGGAGCAATTTGTCACTACGAACCGTCTGCAGCTTCAGTTAGTAATGCTACAGCTGGGTGAAAGCTAAATTGCACAGTAATAAGCAAGGGAAGAGGGTATGGCAATTGAAACCATCAGGACACTGTCGCAACTCAGTTTCAGATTCTCTTTTTATACACCTTTAAAACAATATTTCCAGGGTGTTCTTTTTGTTGTTTGCTATTTTATATTAAAAATAATTTTTAACCAACACAAGAATCTCAAGGAAGATCTAAGTAGCTGATTATACTGATGAGACACTGAAATTGGTTACACACAAAATACTGTCAAATTACCTACATAAACCAACCTGAAATTTAAGAAAAAATGTTTTCAGAAGTGTATTTTTCAAATTTACTGTGTTCCTTCCACTAATTAAAATGCGCTGTTCTTATACTACCTATAATCTCTGGTATCACTGTGTATAGTCACTAGAGTATGAAAGCATGGAATGTATAAATGATAGATGTCACAATAGTATTTGTTTTCATAATTCAAATATATCAGGAAACATGACTTCCTTTCTTATTCATGCCTTTTCCTCTAAAGACATAAAAAGCAGCATACTGAAATCTCCAAGTGATTTTCCACCTTCAAGTTCTGGAGAGAGATCAGGAAGAAACTATGTTTTTCAACATATTCCTCTATTGCATTCAAAGAAATTCAATAAAACGTTGTAATAATAGTTTGAATGGTGTCATTTTAGCTTTAAAAGTATGATGGGAACAATTATCGGGAATAGAAAAAATAGATGTAGAAAACAACACCTCGGAGAGCTTCATCAAAGAACTTGCAGGCAGGAAACAGGCCTATGATCACTTTTAGCCCTGCCTTGATAGATGATGCCGGATTCCAGTCCCAGCAGTGACATTTCTTAACTGCTCAGACCTTGAAAACAAGCGTTAGAACTACTGTGAGTCAAGTGTTCATCTATGAAATGACTCCTTTCCTAGAACATCTTCGTGCTTGTGCTGCTGCTTTGCAGATTACTTAAAAATGCCCCGGCGGGCTGGATGGTGATGTTGACTATGCATCATGCCTCTCACTACCCTCATTCTAAGACAAATGCTATCTGACGTGTTAAAGGCTAAGCTGCAGCGCTCAGATGAAATAAAGTATCTTCTTGTTTGAAAGATGCTGCCTCTTCTGCACAAACACAGAGGAAACTGTCAAAACACAATCTAGGTGCCAGAGTACAGCTACCAAACACTTACTAAAACCCCTTAAAAAGCAGGAAAGACATGATTCGTGAGACAGCTGAAGAATTTTACTTACATAAGTGCAAGGTAGAGACTTCAATATGCTTTTACATTTAGAAGAGGTTTATGTTTAGCAAATAAAATTAATTTTCATTTCCTACTCATTCAACTAACTCAGTCCTACATTATGACACCAATTATTTTACCTTTCATTTGGAAAGCATTTGGCCGATGTAAGGGCTTTGTCTGCTTTGGGGAAATTATTCCCTCCTGGTCACATTGAGCAACCTTCTCACACAAACTCACAGATCTTGTATGAGGGTCCATTTCAGGTACATCTCCAGTGCCAGTTCTTGGCAAACAAACAAATAAATTAAAACCCCTTCAAAGTAACGATAAACTCTCCTTGCTTAGTTGTAAAGTGAAACCTGGTTTTGCAGAATCTGTTTTTGCAGGATTGGGTTTTAGTAGGATTCTGCCTCTACTTACTCTTTAACTGGAAATCTCTCTCATTTCTATCACTTCATTAGGGATGAAAACATATTTGCCAGTGAGATTCAATACAAACCATTTTTATGATTGTTCAATATTTAATCTCTGTGCCATTGACATCTAATTGTTGTTGACATTTAATTGAATGAATTTCTGAAGAACCCTTTTGCTAAAGAGCTTGCAGTACAGGGCAGTAATATTCAGACCACGTGCCCCACGTAGACTCACTTCAGGACCCCAGTGTTGTAATTGGAGAGAAGGTGATTCTTAACCCAGGTGTTCTGAGTAGCTGCGCAGTGAGTTTACTTCTGCTCTTTATACATAGGGCCTATACAGGCTCCTCACTTAAGACAGTGCAAAAAGTACCAAATGCCCATAATGTGCCTATTCTGCTTGACCTATACAAAATTTTAGATAAATATAAAAAAAATACCCATGACTTATGTTATATACATATTTGTGTATGTTTAATTTTCCTACTAAATAACTTCTGCTGGTTGCATCTGCTGTGTCATGTTTCAAATAAAGAGTGGAGCTACCAGAGAGAGACATCTTCTGCCTGTCAGATGCTCCTTTCAGCCTGTGTGGGGTGAAGCACTCTTGTGACGGTTTTTTCAACACAGCCTGGACATTCTGGAGAAGAATGAAATGTTTTGGGTGCCCTTTGAGCTGTGGGGAAGTTTATTAGATGGAAAACATTATCGTTCTCTCCTCTGCTCTCATCAGATATTCAAGTCCTGGTCCTCTTGGGCACTCTCAGCAGTACCACACATAACTTTTCCAGGTATTTGTTTATGGGGTTCTTCCTCAGACCGATATTGCGCTCTGCTGCTCACCCCGTTGCCTGGGAGGGAAGACAGCCTTAGCTTGTGATTCGGAAGCCAGCCCAAAGGACAAGGTGATGAAGCTCTGTGGTGGTCAGGAACACACAGCCTTGGCACAGAAGCACAGCTGCCAGGGGGCAGTTTGGCATCTGGGCTAAAGGGTCTGGTATGGAGGCTCACAGTCACAGCCACCTCCTGATGGTCCTCCTCTTTGAAACACCTTTGGGGTTTTGCCATGGATAAATTGTGTTCAATAGAAGACACATACCTTGCCTCCTGAGTTATTGTCATGGGGAAGGGCTTTAAGTCCCCAAACACATAGAGACTGGGGGAGGGCAGGGGGAATTCCTCCATTCCCGCCTACAGGAGAAGACACCATGTATGGCCAGATCCCTGGATGACAAGAGAAAAGACTAAGACTAAGAGTAAGACTAAGAGTAAGACAGGCTTCTCCACAGGGTTGTGTGAGGCATTGGACAGACACCAAAAAACCCTCAATCTTCGAAACAGTGAATAGTTATGGTGAACCTAGGACATAAATGGACGTTTATGTTGTGGTGAATGGTTTGGTGATCTTAAGGATGTCATTAGGTTTTGTAGAGCTACGTATTATTACAGGGTTACTACAGCAGGGTTAGGCATTACTGTAGTAATTTGGTGTTATAGAGCTTTTCTTAATTTTACTTACATGAACTTTCTGTGTGTTGTCAGCATATTTATAAAACACCAAAACTAATCCATCCCAACAGGTCCCCAGCAAGAGCAGCAGTGACCTCTAGCTTTGTCTTTCAGGCAAGCCTCACAGAAACAAAACTTCGGTGTTTGATCTAAATTAACCACAACATTTACTTAGCATTCAGACTTAAGTACACAAGACTGTCAAAATGATAACGAAATTCACTACCGTTACTTCCCATCGGTCTGTAACGGAACGGCCTGTTTTAACAACGGGCCCAGGCCCACCCCACATCACACAGGCGGTTACAGCCCCCGCCCCGCCCTCGCC